CCCATTTTTGGATAGTGCAAACCAGGAAAATACCTTAACAGAAACAATGTTGCTTCTAAAAAAGTATGGTTCTTAAGTAGTTATTTTTAGTAACTGCATCTTGATATGCGAAGGATCTCACTGAATATGCTCTAAATGTTTTGCTGAAATTTCACGTTGGGCACACTGGCGGAATCGCTGTGAGGCAAAAATAAACTGCTCCTCACTTATTGAAAGATCAATACGTTCTATAGTCGCAAAGACTGACTCTACTTGTAGTAGTTTAACATTTGTTCTAAAAATAGCTTTACTTTGCTATGGGTGTAGGTAGAGTGGTACGATTTCCGGCGGTCAACATGGCCGGATCTGCGTTGAGCTCTCTATAACTGAGTGTCACATTGTGATCGTATAGTAACCTCTAACAAATAAGGCATGAGACTTCCAATATGTCCAAAATCACAATGAGTTAGAATTGACTGGAGCTATGATTAGTTGGTTACAGTCTGTGACTCAAAGCCTGACCCGCAGATGCTCTATTGTCCATAGCAGCGCGAACGCGCAACACGTGCTATTGGCCGTCGGCGCGAATCCACTTGGCGCAATCAATAAGGAACGCGCAAAAGGCAGCAAGTAAAGTGCGTCGCGTGTTCGCGTTGCTACAATACAGTATTTACGGAGGAACAGACTACACGCAAGCAAGCAATTTTTCATTAGAAAGGGTGGAAGAGGTTTTGGTTTTTGTTTTGAGCAGAATCGTGCTTCATGCAGTTATACTACCATACAGTAACATCAGATTGAGAAATAAAGGACATCCTTTTTATTGTCATATACTTAAAATCTGTAAAGTAGCTCCTTTGCTATATTACAGCATGCTTATAGAGAAAGGCGGAGATAGCGCCGCTGGACTTCTCGTTCATTTCTTTCTACGCTACTAAAAAAATTGAAAAGTAAAATGTAGATTTCAGCTAAATTTTAATTATATTTAGCTTTAATCCCGTGGAAAGTTTGTGTTGAAAACAGCTACGCTCAGGATAAATGATTTCATCACTTACCTGAATTGCGTGTATGGATTCAAAGTAATCAGCTCAAGTCGCTCCAGGAATGGCCACAGCATATAATCAGCAAAACCCGGCTGTCGACCTACATTGTATCAAATCCGTTCACTTATCGGCGTCCTTGACACTCTGATTCTTTGCATTCTTACCTCCATAAAAGCTATCCGTGAGTAGGGCTTCAGCTCCACGTAGTACCGAATGCAACTTTTCGTCAGTTTTACGCTGCGTAGCTGGTGTTGTTGAGCTAAACAAGTCGAAGAGGACGTTCATCATCTGGAATAAGGAGTTTAAGTGCAATTTCACGATTAGCTTCAACTGTGTATCTGCGCCCTATATACCATAACGAGGAAGCGCTGAATTAGTCAAACAAACCGGTGATAAGCGTTCAGCAAGAACTTTCTGTTTCGCTTTCTCAAATGGATCACGTGGGAGCACCGAACTCAAGGGAAACACCTCATCCAGATATTCAGCCAGTACTTTCGACTCCCAGATGACCTAGAAAGACTTGAAGGTAGCAATTTAAAAATCAGCTCCAATTTACTACTTTTCGGGCTTGACATGTCAATCACACCATCTGCACAATTGTTGTACAGTAAGATAATTTCAAAAAAGGAGAAGGAATCGCAGTCTCTTCTAAGCCTGACGCGTGGGTGCTGTACTTTTCGTAACAACACGAACATGCACGTAGCTGTTAACTGCCTTTGGTGCTAATGCTTGGCATAATTGCAAAGGCATGCGCCAAAGACAGCAACTAAAGTGCGTCGCGTTTTTGCGCTACTAAATCACTACGCACGTGCATAGTTCGATTCGATACTCCAGATACAGGACAACAAAAGTGATAGTGATTTTAACTCAGGAGCCTTGCAAAAAGTGATGGTGGTTTTTGACATA